CTAAGGCCGGAGCAAATGATATTTTTCTTTTCAAAAACGCTGAAGATGAATGGGCAATATTGATGAGGGAGAGCTCAGCAGAAACACAACCAATGTAGCTAAAATGTGGTGCTGTTTACGCTCATGCGCTGAATAAATTCAAAAGAAAACGACGGGTCGGCCCCACTTCGCCGTAAGGTAGAAGGGAGTTTCACTGCGCTTTGTTAGACTGGTGTGAGAAGGGTAGGAAATGAAGAAAAAAAAATGAATGTGGTAGCCAAATCCTGAATACTGCGTAGAAAAACATAGTATCATGCCAGTGTCGATCAAGTAACAGTGCCGAAGTACTGCCAGTACAGTACAGTAGAAATCACACTTTGAAATAATAAATACTTCACTCCATATTACTCACTTCCCTCCGCAGTGCTCACTTTCTCCATTAACCTACCCACAAAGTGACTGCTTTGTATATAAGAAGGTTAACTTTTCCATATCACTACCTTTATCATAATCACAAAGAAACCCGGACGGACAGACCGACATACCGACATACCGACATACGGACATACGGACATACCGACAAACCGACAAACCAAGTTACTGCTTTATATATAAGAAGGATTATGAAGAACTGGGAACAAAACACTCCCTTGATGAACTCTACTAGGTGCTGATCTGACAGCAGAGTATGTCTTATTGATACGAACTTGAAAAGTGCGTCACTTCAAGAATGATTCCAAGAAAACCATTATTCTACTGGTACGCCTATAGGCTCAACTTCATTAGTAACTTCCTATGTGTAACTCTGTCAAATGCCTTGGAGAAATCAGAGTAGAAGACATCGACTCCTTCCCCGTTATCCAAGTACGTCGTCCAATAATTGACGGCTTCAAACATTTGGATAACAGTGGATCGATATCTACGAAAACCATGCTGGCTGTTGGACAGCATATTGTTCCGCTCTAAATGCTCAACTCAAACTTTTTTCAGAATTTCCTCAAATACCCGACAGAAACTGACGATATGCTCACAGGTCTGTAATTGTTGGCATTCTTTAGTCAACCCATTTTGGGAATAGGCACAACAAATGCATGCCTCAACCTGTCGGGAACATCAAGCTAAAGAATAAAGCTTAACTTGAGTATGTCTTTCAAAGGAGATACAATAGAAGGAAACGCTTCTTTCATGAAACAAAATGGAATCCCATCAGATGTGACTGACGACTTCGATTCCCATTGACTCAAAATGCGGTGAATATCATGCTCATGAAACCACAGAGTGTCGGTCGTTTGCGGAAAAGATCCAAACAATTCAAGACAATCGTTTTCCAAATCACTATGCTCAACATAAACTTGCTCAGAAGTGTCGGCTACTAATTCAGCCTTTTCCAAATCTGTGGTGACTATAGTCCCATCTGATTTCACTAATGCTGCGAGACCTCACAATACAAGCATGATCGCTTGTTCCCATTGGCGATTCTGTGCTGACCCTGATTACGAAATGGGCATCGTTACAAAAAAGCAGATCAAGCATGTTGCTTCCCCTAGTCACAGACCGTAAAAGTTGGGCATATTCAAGATTTTTTGTTTAATCGAAGAAAGATTTGCCCGAGGAGTTGAGGTCGGATGACGAGGGACAGGACCAGTAAATATTGGGAAGGTTAAAGTTACCCGTCAATATACAACCGTGATTGCAAACTGAGATATCACTAATGCATTTACCAAGTCTTTCACTATGCTCACCAGGACAATTAGGAGTTCTGTAATACAAGATAATGCTACGCTTATTTTTGTCCCCTTGGAAATCACACGCGATAATGTCATATCCATCAGGAAATGATTCGAAGAAAATGTGGGTCTGAGATAAAGCTTCTTTGATGAAGAGAGCGACGCCATCCCCTTTTTTCCGCCTACGATCACAACAAAAGACTTGATAATTATTGCAAACCTCACCTAACATAGTGCTCACCTCAGAACCAGATCTGAGCCAGGTTTCCGATAGAGCAACTATCCCGTAGTTTGTTTTAGTGAGCACATATTGCAAAGATATAGCATTTTAATTTAGAGAACGTATATTAGTAGAAAGACATCCAACTACGTTAACCCTATTCCAAGGACTTCTCACAATTTTTTTGAAACGGGATTATCGTCGGTGTGCAAAGTTTTCTCAGCACCAAGTGAAACATGCGATTGAACAGGGTCGTGGCTACTACTACTGGTAGGAGTCATAGACGGCGAAGGACCATTAACACAATCACTATGGCGAACAGAACCAACATTATTAGGTGTAGCAAATACTGCCGTAATCAGTATCAAAGAAGTCATCGATTGCTGTGAATCACTGACCGACTTATCGCCGTTCGGATCTTCATAGATGCGCTTTGAAGGGGATTTCTCAAAATATGCGGGTCTTATCTTGTAAAGCGTTAGAGAGAATGTAAGCATTCTTTCAAAACATAGATTCTCTGTTTACCGTAATAACCGCATTTTTCAGATTATGTTGTCCTACGCGAGCTCAAACGGCCGCATAAAAGAAAGCGACTTCAGCAAAGCCCCAGCTTCGGTGTTACCGTTTCGTCTTGTTCACCATCGTCCACGTCGCAACAACCAACAACATCGACCGGACAATATCGAGGACAATATTCTCGTGTCAGAGTATCTAACCAGCTGATCAATATTAGTGAATTCGTCAGAAATAAAAATCTGAACAACCGCCTCTGCCCAAGTTTTCTCGTGCAACCGCAACTCGGCGAGAGTTTATTGGCGAGCGACCTTTGAGAACACTATATTTGGTGCATCGGCAACTTCACGGACTCAGGTCGGTTAAATTTAAACTTTGCTTCACCTGAAAATCATAAAGCGGTCACTTTGGAATATCTTCTTGACTGCCAACCGACGGTTCAGTAATTATCGCTAGTCTCTTCACTATCAAAAAACGTCTCTTAACTCTCTAGTCAATAAACTCGAGCATATTCTCAACAATCTCAAAGGAGATAGACTCGAGGACACTCCTCTGAATCCGGATTTGCCTCAAGATACACAATCCGAAAATGTCCATGGGTTAGAGGAAGGTATTAGCGTTCTTGAATCCTCAATCTTGGGGAAGGTAGAAAAAGTCCTTCACGAATTAGCCTCTATGGGTGACAACCCCGAACTTACCGGTAAAGAGAAAGAAATTGAGGAGTATTCGCTTAACGGCGAGACTATCCTCATGGCTGCGTTTGATTATCTACCGATGTTACAGGCTCGACTGCGTGCTCTAAAATCCTCGGTACCTTTTTTACATCAACCTCAAGGGAATCTAACACACACGCATCAATAGGACAGGCCAAAGTCAAGACCTTGGAACTACCACCCATTCCCATACCCACCTTTGCAGGAAATATTTGGGAATGGGATAGTTTTTGGGGTATTTTCAACACCAATATACATTCCCAGGACGTGGCGGAAATGGCCAAGTTCAATTATCTCCTCAGTTCACTGAGAGGTCAAGCCAGAGACTCAATGAAAAAGTTCCAGGTTACAGCGAACAATTACAGAAAAGTAATACAATTTTTACACAATAAATATGGCAATAGGGAGGCCTTGGTGAACGCACTGGTGGAGAAATTAGACACTTGCTCTCTACACGGCCAATCCATAAGAGACCAACGCCGACTTCTGGAAGAACTGCAGGTGATCATCTCCCAACTAGAGGAAAAGGGGAAGGAAGTTAACAATTCATGGCTCATGAAGAAGGTTCTTTGCAAATTCCCTGACACGCTCAAACGTAAGGTGATAACCAAGAAACAGGGTATTGCTACAACAACCCTTTTTACAATGAGCGTACTCTTCCAGCTCTTTGATGAGACACTCTCGACAGAAGAACTACTCCTAACCTTTACAGAAGCAAAACATAAAGCAATAGTCAGCGACAATATCACCCCAAGCCAAAAGTTGGGAGTCAGACGCCCGACAAAAGGCATTTGCATGTTTTGCGAAGGCACGCATTCTTTCAACGCTTGCAATAAATATTCTACTCCGCAAGAACGGTCCCTCCATCTACGGCGGAATAACCTCTGCTTGATATGTGCTTCGGGAACCCACAGTACCAGCCAATGCAAAGGCCGAAGATGTTTCCGATGTGGTGGACCGTACCATACCTCTTGCTGCTTCAAAGGTAGTTCCACCCATTCCTCCAAACCAGCCGATACTCAAGGGGATTCACACCGTTCCGCAACACTAGCCACCAAAAAAGGTAGAGGGCGAGACAATAATGGCAATAAGTCAGCTAAGGTAAAATCGCATGCCATCATTACAACGGAAAACAATAGCTGCTCAATTCNGTCAGATGACACATTGGGAGAACCAGTAATCCTCCAACACCATACGGTCACTGACAGGATTCCTCTGGTGGGACACCCATTTTAACCAATAGGGGAAGTGACAGTAATCGATAACACCACCCACGCATTGATCAAGGAAAGCATCCTATTGGATACCGGGGCAGAACTGTCATTCATAGACAGTTCTCTAGCAGAACGATTAGAGTTACCAGTCTTGGAGAAGAACGTGGTACAACTGATGACCTTTGGCTCCAATGATGTAAAAAAACTTCATGCAACCGAGTGTGCCTGATGGCTTGGGACGCAGAAGGGAACCCACATGATCTGGATTTATTCACCCACAATATTTTAACAAGGCCGCTCGAGACGCTGAGCCAGTCTGACTCCGACGCCGAATTCATTCGCTCTTTGAATTTACCCATCAAGTGGGAGCAAGATCAAGGACAAGTCACTCCTTCCATTCTTCTGGGATGCGACCAATCGTGGTCATTTATGAAAGCCAACCAAGCCACAATAGCCTTACCCTCAGGCCTGCGTATCCTTCCAACTACTCTGGGGTACTTAATTCCAGGAAGACCCCAAGTTCAAGGGGAAAATGTACTGCAAGTCTCCCATCCAGTTCCAGAAAATGAATACCATCAGATGGACCTTTGGACAACGGATGTAGTACAACAATATACGATACATTCAGAAGAAAATGAGAACCCAAGAAGAAAAAGATAAATGGGATAACTTCTGGATTTTGAAATCTGTCGGAAGGGAGGAATTCACAGGAAAAGAGAAGGAAGCTCGTACCGAACTGGACGCGAAAGTATGGGAGCGGTTCAATAACACAGTACAGCGCCGACCCGATGGGTACTACGTGCGCTTACCGTGGATTGAGCAACATCCGTACCTACCAGACAATAAAGCCCTAGCCTATAGACGATTAGTTAACGTATGGGCATCAATAAGCAAAGAAGACACGCTTTTAAAGCAATACAATAAGATCTTCCGAGAGCAACTTCGCAACAACATCACTGAACAAGAAGAGGAGTCGACAAATGATGCTACGGGAGAACAGATCCACTATATTCCTCACCAACCCGTGATTACCCAGAAAGCGAGAATCAAATTAAGAATCGTCTTCGACGTTTCAGCACACTATAAAAATTGTCCCTTTCTTAACGATGTACTGTATAGGGGGACCAGTTATACTACCCCTTATCTATGGGATCTTACGGTTCAGAATCGGGAGTATAGCGCTCAACAAAAGCGAGATAGAGATGCGACGAGATGCTTCTGGCTCCGCAACTATAAGTCCCCTCCGTCATTCGATAACACAAAAACGTTTCGTTTCACGAGGGTGACATTTGGTTTGGAATCGTCTCCTTTCTTGTTAGCGGCCGCAATCCGTTATCACCTCAATACATACCAAACTGAAGATGACTTGATTCGAGACATCAAAAAGAACATGTACGTAGATAACTGACTGACTACGGATACACTGGAAGAGGGAATAGACGTGAACCGAAGGACGAAACAGATGTTCCAGGAAATCAACATGAAACTGCGCGAATTTTCGTCCAACAACCACCTCCTGGTAAACGCAATAACAGGGAAGGATAGGGCCATAGAAACACTTCCGAAGGTACTATGTATTCTCTGGGACACCACTAGCGACAGCATTTTACCCTCCTGTCATTTCCCAGACACCTAAAATGTGACCGACCAAAAGAACTATTGCGAGTGCAATAGCATCAATATACGGCCCTCTGGGTTGGACTCTGGCACTCCTCCATGGGGCTAAAGTATTTTTGAGAGAACTGTGGAAAGAGCAATATACTTGGGACCAAAGTTTACCCACGGAGAAAGAAAACGAATGGAACAATATAATAGAAGTGGCAGAGGGTTTTGAAAAACGGATACCAGGCTTTTGTGCCCCTAAAGAAGCGGAGACCATACTAGTCACATTTGCAGATGCTAGCTCAGCTTCTATGACCGCCTGTACTTATCTATGCTACAGCGCTACGTCATCTCTCGTCATGGCAACATCAATACTTCCATCTCTCCAAGTGAAATACACTACTCCCGGCCGATGCACCAAATATAGTGTTCTTAAAGGTCGCTCGCCAATAAACTCTCGCTGAGTTGCCACGCGGTTGTACGAGAAAACTTGTGCAAAGACGGTTGTTCAGATTTATTTCTGACGAATTCACTAATATTGATCACCTGGTTAGATGCCCTGACGCGAGAATATTGTCCTCGATATTGTCCGGTCGATGTTGTTGGTTGCTGCGACGTGGACGATGGTGAACAAGACGAAACGGCAGCACCGAAGCTGGAGCTTTGCTGAAGTCGCTTTCTTTTACGCGGCCGTTTGAGCTCGCGTAGGACGACATAATCTGAAAAATGCGGTTATTGCGGCGGCAAACGCGCATCTATGAAGATCCGAACGGCGATAAGTGGGTCGGTGACTCACAGCAATCGACGATTTCTTTGATACTGATTACGGTAGCATTTGCTACATTAGGCGTTCATCATCCGTTCATCTTGTATACGATCCCTCTTCTGCTTTGTAAGGGACGGACGAATATAGATGCCCTCACTGGGGAAGAAACGTAACCGGGGTGCATGTTTCAAAACAACACTTTGAAAACGACAGGAGGGTAATACCACCTTAACCAATCTAGGGCTTATTCGGCTGGCCCATACGGTAATCACTGTTTGGAAAGCATTGAACTCCTAAGAAATCCAAAACAGCATTAGCACAGCTCACGTCATGCTCAATGCATTCAAAAGTGCTCCTAGATTCACATTCAGGCATAACAGATATGACAACGGAACGCTTGAGATCAAAATTGACATCGACATCACTGTTTTGAAAACCTAGCGGCGTAGAAGAATGATCCCTATCAGCCATAGGAGTATTAACAGAAATCAATTTCTCAATTTGGGGCCTCAATGATGAATTTTTTTTCCTGATTTTCTTGTTATCCTCCAAGATATCCACGTTTTTCCTAATGATCGCGGCGAGTTCTCTGCGCGTCTTGTCCAATACATCGATTATGATCTTCACTAATGACGGCACCTCTTTTTCGGCAATACTGGCACCAAGCGCTCAAGCGCAGAGTTTCGAGGTTGAGGTGACCATTCCATGCGGCAGCGTTCAGCTGGAATTGAGGAAGAGCGAGAAGGCAAAGGAATTATAAACACATACAGATTGGAAAGCTATCGGCAGATCACGATTACTTGGGTGACACAAGCGATCGATTTAGTCGAAAATGAAACCGACGGAAAATTTACCGTTATCAGTGGCGCAACGAGTAAATACCAGAAAGTTTCACCCCTCGCCACTAGGGATGGACGCCTTGGATGAATTAAGAGTGGAAACAGACGAGCCACAATATTAGAAATAGCAATAAGCGAAAAAATAGTAGATGCCAGGCAGGGAGTAGGTAGAGCGACCTCTCTCGGCGCATGCAGGCTCGAAACTGCTTACGATTTCGTGTTCAGGAAAGAGGCAAGATTTCGCTTTAGCAAAAAAAAAACATGGTAAGAAATTAAGAGAATGAGCCGAATGGCTGATGAAGGGCAGTTCGCTACGAATCAGAACAAGGTTGTGCAGAAGCACCGTCACGCCTTTTTAGCGCATGCCCCGCTCCGGGGGTCGCTTTTCTGGCAGACTGGTTAACTTTTCCGTCATAGCTTATCACCACATATGTAACGTGATGAGCCAGTAAGTCGGCATCGGTAGCATTAAATTGCAAAGCTGTAGGTCCTTTGAAACTACTTGAAATGGAAATTCCCTCAAGTTTTCAAAAAGTGAACCTTAGGTTATGACGCGGTGTTTGTTTGTAGCCTTTTGTGATTTGCCATGCCCAATATATCGTCTGTTTACGAACTGCTCTCGAGCCGATTGGCAAGGAGCCCAACGACAATATCTAGACGGCTCTTATCCAGGTTTGTGGTTTACGTAGTTCAAATGAGAATGTTTTTATAGTGTTCAATTTACATTCTACAAATTGTTCGTAGTTTCGATGATTTTGAATAGCGCTACGTTAACCAGTCCTGCAAGCCAGTGAATTGTACGATGCAGTTGTCACCTGACTGCTCGCTCGTGGTTGCCAGCTCAGGTATCCTGCCGGTCCAGGGAACGGCGGTGTGGGGTGACGGGCAGTTTTCCATCACTCAAACAGCGTTGGAAAAGCCAGGCACTACAAATACTAACCACATCGGTCGGAAGTCCCCAGAGCCACGTTTGGCGACGCGGGGCTTTGACGGGCTGCGCCTCCCTGCCAATTTTTGAGAAGGCCGCAATCGGGCCGAAAGCAACGTGTAGGTCTGTTCTCGGTTTAGACCCATTCCTCTCTGTAGCATTAATATATCGATGATCTGCCACGTTTGACCAGTCTGGGTCAAACCATACAGGTAATGCGTGAGGAACCTTTAACAGCTACGCCATCAAGCCAAATCTTGCTTTCTAGGTGAATGTGCACCTTCCTATGTCGCCTAGGCCTTCTTCTTTTCGAGTCTCCAGCTGAAAATAGGCAAGATTCATCATCTATGCCACAATAGTCATTCAAAACGGTGCTGCAATGTTGAGTGGAGGTCGTTTGCGGGACGCAACAAAAAACGACGGCTCGATCGACGTCGAAAGCCTATCCTTAATTCTTATCATCATCATTAAATGAGAAGTCTGTTGAAAAGCTCATTGAACTCTTCTGACCTTTTCAACAGGTTTTGCTTTTACGGTCTTCTCTACGCTGATGAATTGAGTAGCTCGTTGCCGTTCTTCAGCTACAACTATCGAAGAGGGAACGTTTTCTGCCTTCTGCTTACTACAATGTTTCTTGCAAGACGTAAATTTCCGTGATCCCAATGGAAGGGCAGGCATTGAATAGCGTGACAAAGGTGAAGGGAAAAAAAGAGCGGGAAATTGAAAAGACAGTATCGTCCTCATACCAGTATATTATCGGCGCTTGCGACGATGTCACCACCGACGAGGGGATATCGCTGCATATAATCCATTTCGAAGTAAAGGTAAAATGCTTTGCTATACGGCTGGACACGCTCGAACTTCCTAGTAGCAGTTTCGAGCCTTCACCGCGCCTGTCCTCATCTTTTGCAGAAGACTGACGCCACATTCGTACGTATTCGGTCATTTCTAGTCTCATTGCTCTTCTGCAACAGATAATAAACAAAACTGACTTTGGCTACTGGTTGTGCCTTTTAGGAGCAGTCTCGGATTTCGGGAAAACGCTTCCGTAGCCATTGAAGAATGTGCATCGAGAGGTGGTGAGGGAAGCAAAGAGCACCCCGCTGTTTATAAAATGTTCATGATTTTTTGTGCTCCGAAACGTGTTTAATCGGATGGGTGAGTTTTTTGGAGGAAGATCTTTAATTGACGCGTGTAGTCGGTATAGATGTTGGAAAGGAGCGGGGGTGCTATAGAGGCAATACTACCGGGGCGGGCTCTAGAATAAGAGTCTTGTCAGCTGGTGGGAGACATGTAAGGCTAATGTCTCCTACTATCTGCTTGAATACCAATATAACTAATGATAAAATCAGTACCTAACTATATAACAAAACTGGTGAATTCAACTTCAATGTCATTAAATTCCCTCGTTGTGCAACTGGCATTTCTACAACCACAACTGATATTTCTGCTACCTCCGTGAAGCCTCTGTTATATACACAAAAGCCAATGCATGTTCTATTATGAAAACCTTCACCAAAAAGTTAGAAGAAATGATCCAAATTCTACTGAGATTTGAGTACAGAGAAAAATTCGTACGCACTATCCCAGTTAGGTGCATATATAGGAATGAGTTTATATGCCACAACATTTTTATTGAGGTCAGTTTCAATAACATCACCTATTTAGTTGATGGAATTCTGAGGCACACAGAAATAAGCATTACCAGTTCATTGCGTGCGCGATTCTCTCTCTAGGAAGTTTCTCCATCCTGTCAAGTCGTTCCCTTTGCGGTAATCGTTTTCATCGATTGAGGACTTCGGTGGGTCCTGGGTCCAGAAATTGTTGACCATAGACCTAATCAAGTGCATACACTATAAAGGCAGTAGTCACTCGTAGTGAAGCTAATGAAACGGGATCTAAGTCACCCTCTGTAGTTCGCAATCTCAGGGTGCTACAGTGGCACGAGGTGGAACGAATTATCACCAAATGTCATGTCGTGAACTTATATCCAGCATGAGATCAGTAAAGACCCGGTAATCTTAGAAAGGCTCGGAGTACCTCCTATGAAAATTCCAAATGACTTCACTGCTTTACCAGCGGAGGAGAAAAATCGCGCAGCATCGTTTTTGCAGGGAATAAAGAGTGTGAACGAGATCCCCCTCTTTCTAAACGTCAGGCGCGACAAGAGCAAGTGTTTCAGAGCTACCATATGGTCTTGGCGTCAAATGTACTCCGTACGGGTAAGTTCCTTACATATGGGTAAGTTCGGTACCGGAAGACCACGTTTAGTAAAGGTTGTATCACCAACAGTGGGCCGTTGGCGCAGAGCTCTGGGAAACGCTCGGAAGCTCCGTCTAACCGGCTTCCGTGATATCTTTATGTGGAGGAGCATGACTATGGAGGAAAGAAAACAGGATTACGAAATTAGGCAGATTGCCAATGAGAGGAATAGGGGCAAAAGTAAAAAGGAGTGGGTAGGTTTCAGCGGTCAGCCCAAACATGTCTCTGAACTACCCAGCAGGAATCAAGGAAACGTTCAGACTCGCAAGGTCAGGCATACCCTCTTCCTTGTTTCCTGTTTGATTCTCGCCGTCTAACCAATACATTGCATCACTTGCAACTGTGTCTCATTGAGAAGAAAACCAGACCCGATCTTTGTGACGATGACATGGCTTAAAGCTGGTGCCAGTGATTCCGAAGTCTTGGTTCATCTACCATATGATTATGACGGAAGCTAATCGGTTTCGGTTTGATGTATAATATGGCAATGGACAAAATGAAACTAAGAGTGGATGAGCTCTCGAGATCCCTCCATCCATAGGAGTTTCCAGAAGCCACCCCTATCGCTTGCGACTTGACAAGCCTAACACACACTCTCATGAGAGTGCGTTCACTGTAAGTGGTTAAACTTTCTAATAAATTGGATCCAATTTTTCCTATTGGAAGCATATTGAGACTTTTCAAGACCACTTATCGAACTGTCTTAAGCACCAAGCGGCTTACCAGAGATGAGTTGTTTGTAAAGATCGTCATGGGACTGTAAAATGTCTGCTCAGTTGACGCATAACCTTTAGGAAAAGTGTTTGAGGCAACCGGTCTGATGGCGCAGTGCAAAGCCTTGCTGCTCGTGCGTATGCACGCGATACATTTCTCCA